CGGGCGGATCCTCGGGGAGCGGGCGGATCCCCTGCGGGAAGGCGGATCCCCGGGAAGCGGGCGGATCCTCGGGGAGCGGGCGGATCCCCGGGCAACGGGCGGATCCCCTGGGCGAAGGCGGATCCCCGGGGAGCGGGCGGATCCCCCAAAAAAATCCACAAAGCGAAATCACGACGCTATGCGTATTTTTTTCCCCTCATTCTAAACACAAGGAAACCGCGCTGCCGTCGTGATTCGTTGGCTTAGGTCTCAGAGCGTCAGGGTCTCCTCCAGAAACACGCATGCTCCAAAAGTGATTTTTTTCAAAAAGTGAATACTCACTGAATTTTCACTCGGCTTCTCGTTCCAGAACGAGAAATCGAGTGAAAATTCAGTGAGTATTCACTTTTTGAAAAATCCCACTTTGGGATCACGAATTTTCCGGGATTGAGAATTCAGTGAATTCTACTCACTCCATTTCTCGTTCCGAAACGAAAACCAAGTGAGAACTCATTGAGTTCTCACTTTTTGAAAAATCCTGGAGTGAGAATTCAGTAAATTCTCACTCCATTTCTCGTTCCGGAACGAGAAGCCGAGTAAGAATTCACTATCAATGCGTTCTCACTTTTTGAAAAGTCTTGGAGTGGCAATTCAGTGATGAATTCTCACAGCGTTTCTCGTTGCGGAACGAGAGCCCACACGAAAACTCGCTGCGTTCTCACATTTTGAAAAAAGCCGGGGTCTGCGCGCCTCGTTCCCGAACGAGGATAGTTTCCGATGTCGTTTTGTTTTAGAGGTTGCAAGTCATGACATCATGATGATGATTGTGACTACTAGCAGCGTTCCAGATTATCGAGTGCGCGCGCACAGCAGGAACTAAAATCCTCCAAATCTTACTTCATCGCCGACAAATTTCCTCCGCCCGGCGCGCCGAGTGTGTTCAAGCCGCCCATGCGGACCCAGTCCCGCACGGTGCGCTGAACCGCCGGAATGTGGTAGCAGGCACAGCAGCAGAAGCAGACGAATTCGTTGCCGCAGTCGCCTTCCTTCATGATTCCGATGTGGCGGCCCGTGGCGGCCTTCCACTTGACCATCAGCATCACCTTGATAATGCCCACGATCGCGTTCAAAACACCGAAGACGGCCTTGATGATCGGCCACGGCCCCTCGTTGTCGATGGCAGCCTTGGTTGGCTGTTTCGAAGTTTTGAGATAGTAGTCGTGCGACCTCTTCTGTGTGATAGTAAGCACTATATCAAGATCGGCGTCATGCTCTGTCATACATGTGAAGGGAAGTGCAGCTTCCAAGTAAACCTTCATTATTTCCCACGAATTTATTATCATCATGAAAAAGAAAAATAAAGTAAAAAAGCAGTATTTTATGCAGTTACCGCAGACGGGCCACCCAATGGATGGCCGCTCGGTGGGAGCAGTCCCCCACCGCGTCGTCGAGGCGCCTAGGGAGATGGAGCAAATAAAATGCTCCATCTCCCTAGGCGCCTCGACGACGCGGTGGGGGACTGCTCCCACCGAGCGGCCATCCATTGGGTGGCCCGTCTGCGGTAACTGCATAAAATGAATGCCCGGGCAGCAGCAGGCTAGCGAGCCTGTGAGTCTAGGCTGAGGATGGTCGGGCGGTATTTTATGCCCGTGTCCGCCCTCAGCCCTTTAGTGTACGGTAGCCAGGACTTGAGAAGATCAGTCAGGACAACCCACCGAATTTCGGGGTGGTATTTGTTTCGCCCGCCCTCCCTCCCAGTTGTTTCAAGGTGGTTACGTTACTACGGATGGGCCGCTAAGACCTCGCGCCGCCCTTTTCTTACGGGGTGTAACAGAGGTCCATGTCTTCCATCGCGGGTCAGGTGCTCCATCTCCCTAGGCGCCTCGACGACGCGGTGGGGGACTGCTCCCACCGAGCGGTGGGAGCAGTCCCCCACCGCGTCGTCGAGGTTGAGATGACGGGGGGACGATAGTCAAATTAGGACGACAACGAAAATTTGATTTCTGAACGAAGCAAATGCAGCACGAAACGGTGGAGTGCATCCTCCTCCTTTCACCTCATTTATAATCTGCCGTGGCTGCGACTCAAACAATACTTTCGTGTTCCACCGATCGCATCATGATTGTACCGATATTCTTCTTCTGCTATCTTCATTTCTAGCCATTTTTTCACGAAAGATCACTTTCGTCGAACACACAGACGAGCGGGCAATAAGTACATCACAAGGGACCTCCGCAAAATTGCTGTCGCCTTCAAGAAGTGCGCAGCCGCAAGAACCCGAGCTGCAGCTCTAGCTCTTCTTTCATCACCAATATTTCTTCGAAAGCTAGAAATGGTCTTCATTCGCGTTTTTCATTTCGCCTCGGTGAAACAAGGCTGCGAAACGACCACCAAACAAACTTGGTTTGCTCGATGGTAGTAGTTCTGGTTCTGTATGAAATCTGTTGCCAATAAATCTTGTGTCTGTTAGAAGTTGTTCCTCCTCCTCCGGTCGATATTCATTTTTTGTGAAATCGACTCAGAAGGAATCATCTCCTGGGTTGATGTTAAGATTGAAATTTCCAAGCTGCGGTTACGAACAGCAGGCGCTTTTGGACTTCATCCGAGCATGACGCCGACGAGGACTTCATCGTAAAGACTACGTGCTAGGAAAAAGTACTACATCAGGCGTCACGATGACCATCGGAGAAGTAGACTGCCTTACAGAATCTTATTCCGTATGTCCTCGAGTTTCTTCAAGATTTCCGCCGGCGTTTTGTCCAAACTGCTCGCGACAGACACCTGCTCCTTCTGCGAGAGCAAGCTGTAGTGCTCGCACAGGTCGCCGTCGATGCAGTTCTGCACCGGGAAAAACGCGGACCGGAACCCCATGTGATCCCTCCCGCAAAGAGGGGCCCGCTCCGTTCGCATGGCCATCTCCAGGTGCTGCAAAAAGTCGATTTCGTCGGTTGTCTGGATGGGGTAGAGCGCACCGATCGACCCCATCAAGGTGCTGTAAATGATACAATCCGCACCGCCGAGGGCGATGGGCGTTTTTTCGACCGCGGTTACCATTTCACCGACATGGAACTGCATAATGTGCTCCAGTTTGGCGGTCTGCCCCGTGAGGTAGCTAGTTTTTTGATTTATAATTGTCGGAAGTAGATTTGAAAAAGTGCATTGATGAAACACGATAATATCCCCGATGTTGTCGATCCGATTGCTACTTATTGACACTGCTACCCCGCAACAAAGATCTCGAGCAAAGCGAGAAAAAAAGCCTGTTGAGCCCTTAGGCGTAAAGTATTTAGATGAAAAGATGACACAGAACGTATTCCGGTACGTTGAAACTAAAAATAGAAAACGAACAGAATCATCAAAATATTATACGCAGTATCCGCCTTCAGTCGCATCCCGGTGGTGTCCACTTGCTCATCGTTTGCGCAGTGCTCCGGCACCCGGGCCATGAAAATGTTGTCGAATTTGTCGCTGCCGAACATCGTTCTGTAGTCGATGACGGAAGCCGCCATCATCCAGCGCGGCGCGACGTCGTCGCAGACGACGAACAACATGTTTTCTTCCCGGTTGTACTTCAACACGTGGAAGGATTCCCGGACGTCCGTGCAGTAAATCCGGTCGTTCTTTACGTGAATCCAGGAAATCGCCTCCGGAATGTTCTTGTACTCGCACTTTTTCAGCAGCTTCTTCTTCCCGAGTTCAAAAATCGTCATGGACTTCCCGACCCCCGCGAGGAGCCGCCCCTCAAACGGGAAGAGGCACTGGCAAACGTCCTGCGTTGGGGTGCTGTGGATCAGCTGGAGCTGGTAGTTCTCGTCGTAAATGTACGTCTTGATGGCGCATCTGTAGATTTTTGAATCACGATCAAGTAGCTGTACGAACGGGGTCACAAAATGTCCGATTAAGTCCTCGGGGGACCTGCGACCCACCCAGCCGGGTGGGCCTTAGGTCCCCTGTCCCAATAATTAAGTTATCTATGACTCCGCCACAGCTCGCGTCCGCCCATATTGTTTTCTCGCCGTTTGTAGTGGGTGTAAATCTGTATTAGAGTCTTGCACTATTGTACTTGTGCCTCCGTTTGTCGCTATTTATCCCAGAAAAGAGCTTATTTGGTGGGTGTAAATCTGTGATGCAGAAAATGCAAAACTGTTTCACAGGAAACTGCAGAAACACTTTTGCATTTTCCGCATCACAGGTCCCTTTTGCGTAAAAACAGCTTTGCATTTTCTGCATTATAGACTTAACCCACAACAAAGCTTTTTTCTTGGATAAATGCAGTGCACAAATCTTTTTTCTTGGATAAGTGCAATGCACAAATACAATAATACATAAGCTACTGCGTCACAGATTGACACCCACAAAAAAGAACGGCGAGAAAACTGGAACGGGCGGACGCGAGCTGTGGCGGATTCGCAACTCAATTCTATATTGGGACAGGGGACCTAAGGCCCACCCGGCTGGGTGGGTCGCAGGTCCCCCGAGGACTTAGTCGGACATTTTGTGACCCCGTTCCTAGTAGAAAAGCACGCAACACAAATTTCACGTAGCGGTACTAGCGCTCACCCAAGACACACCGCACTCGCACAATTTCAAAGCGCATCACAAGGCTAACAAGGACTAAGAACTTGCATCGAGAGCTTTTTTTTTCTACCTTGGAGCCTTCCTTGGCTTCAGGGTCATGTTGTGTGCGGTTCCTACCACTAGACAGGGCTGCTTTGGCAGCTGCGTAAAGTAGCACACTGTCGCACAAACCGCGCACTCGTCGATGTCTATTGTAAGGAAAAATCCCCCCTCCCCATATCGAAAAAGTATGACTCCGCAAATTTGTGTTGCTGATTTGAGACCACAAATCACGTCTGTCTTGCAAGAAGACAAGCGCAGAAGCTTCCGCTCCATTATGGAAGCGATTTGGCTGCATGCTGTTTCGCCTAGGGGGCAGCCGTTTGTAATGCTAAGCAACTAGACCCAAACGCCCCTACCTAGGCCGAGGATCTGGCTGCGCTGCCTTACTGCAAGACAAATCAGATTTGTGTACGCAAATCCGGCATCAGAAACTTCGTTTTGATATGGGGAGGGGGGATTTTTCCTTTTGATAATGTCTAAATTGAGTTTGCACACGGTCGCAAGCTGGGTTGGGTCCACGATGCGGATACAGCTACCCCACTTTCCCTCGCCGGCTTTAAAGGTTCCTATCTGCTCTTCTGGGAGGTCTTCCTCCTCGTTGTTGTTAACCTGTGATGTTTATTGTGACGGAGAAGTTGTATGGGTGGTTCTGTATCGCGCATGTGCATGATCATCAAAGGAAGGTGCTGCAAAAAACAAGTATAATTTGAAAGGTTGCCACACGACACTTCTCAAGTTCTTGTGATAGAAATTGTGATCTTCATGTTGGCAAAAATTAGTGCACTAAGCTAAACATGTTCCCCCAAAAAATTTACTTTTTTTTACCTGAATTTTCTTCAGCGCTGCCCTGATTTCTTGTCTGGTCTCCTCGTTGTAAGCATTGTGGTCTGCCTCTAGGACCGCTAGGTGAATCTTCTGGTTGTGTGCTTCCAGCAACTGGTCCGGCGCGATGGAGGGTGGGGGTAGGGGCGCCATTCGTCTTGGTGTGTAGGACAACGGCATCACCTGTTGGTGGAAGATCTCGCCCAACCGCTCGATCGACAAAATCCGCAGAGTGTTGCCCGAAATCGCGACAAACCCCTCTGGGCACTGCTCGGAGGTCAGGCTGCAGGCGTACTCGAGAGAGTCGTAGCACATGGGGGTGCAGTGATATCGCCCTTGAAAGTTGTAGCTGAGCCACGCCTATGAATTGCAAAAATGTCTGGGTCTGGAAGATTCCAACTTGTCATGGTAAATCTGAAGCATGCGAAAATCTGTGTTGCATGAGTGCCAAAAGCTGCGCACTTTTGACCAACTTGGAGGGGAGTTTCTCATGCAGGATAGGCATGGCAGAGACCTCGCAGAGTCTGTCATGCTAAGTCCCGCATTCCAGACCTCATGGGTGGTCATGGAAAATCTGCATGACAAGTCTACACTTTTCCAGACCCAGACATTTTTACATTTGATAACGGCCGCTGGGAGAGGGCGAGCAACGCCGGCTCGTTGTTATTCACCTGGACTTATCATGTGCAAAAGTATCGTACTCGTAGCAATTGCATTTATGCATTACAAGTTTCTTTTTCAAGGTAAATCAGCATTACAAATTCAATTTGTAATGCTAAGTCGATTTGTAATGCAATTCATACTAGTACGATACTTTTGCAATGCATAGGACTTTGTGGAGTTTGACCTTCTTGTGCCCGAGGAATCTTGACCGTTGGTCGGATAACGTTCCGGTTATGGAATCCACGACGCACCGAATCATGATCCCGGCAGAGAGCCCGATGTTCAGGTAGAGATTCGTGAAACCCCCGTCGTTGGCGACGGAGCTCTGGCCCTGCGCTTCCCGGTCTGTGGCGGATTTCATTTCAATCAGGCAGACGGATTCGGGTTGGTGGGACAGGGCCTGGGATAAAGTGAGTTAGTGTAAAAATTTCGCAGATTTTGTAGCGACAGAGTCAGAGAAGATTCTTCAAGTAGCAGGTAGTACATACTGCAGCTCGTTGTCCCATGTAGTACAACTAAGGCTAGACAGTCACAGCTACAGCTTACACACATGGTCATGCTCTACTTGTCCTTCTTCTTGCGCTATACAGGTTCCGGTCTCTCTAAATTTGTACCTGCGCCGACAGCTGCTTCAGTGGTCTTTCCTTGTCCAAGGAAAGTATCCTCACTGAGTTGTCCACTCCTCCTACGGCGATGAAATTTGCGCGGGCCCGGTTCTTTGGTATTGGCTGGACGGACAACGAGACGATTTCGTAGTTCATTTCCCTTTTTGCGACCTCGTTCAGTGCGTGGTTCTCGTCGATCTCGAAATACAGAATCTCACCACCGGCAAGCGCGATCACGACCTTGTAAATGTTGATTTTTTTGCCTTGACAAGGAGCATCTTCACATCAAGAAAGATATCAACATCTTGAGACAACATTATTATATATACTGTAGTGCAATACGTAGACCTATCAAAACGTATCGAAAATAAAGCAGAACAAACTTCTTCGAGAATGACTTTATAGTATACCTGTCTATCGTTTGCCGCTGCTGCTTGAATTCTCTTCCCGCCCGGCACCTTCCACTCGTTCGTCCTTCTCGGGAGTAAGTGTCGAATCCCGGTCGGGTGGACTTGCACATGGGAGTCATCCGCCATGAGAGCGATCAGCAACGAGGGCGCGGTTGCGAGGAAGCCGGAGTCTAATACTTCCTCCACCGTGTCACCGATGGACAATACTAGCGTCACGTCGATGAAACTGACAACGATGTACTGGTGGTACTTCGCCTCGTTCAACTTCTTCACGGACCAGACCGCATAAGGTCGACCGGGAAGCTCGGAGACCGCCATTTCTACCACGCCCAAACCGTGCCGCAGCACCCGCATGGTGGAGCGGGGACCTGGAGAATATTAAATGTTGGCTGATGCTTGTTTGTTGCTATATGATGTTGGCTAATTGCGATTGGTATCTTGATCTTCACGACAAACACATCACTGCATTGGATCAGATCATCTTCAAGCTTGTTTGTAGTTACGCATGACCAGCACCTCGTCCTCGAAAAAAGAAGACCACATAGCACAGCAACAGCTCCATCAAGCGTGCGTCGATAAAAAAAATTTCTTCACTACCTCGGCCACACAGCGTGTATATCTGCGTTTGCCCTTCGTTTGCCGCGTCCAAAATTTTCATGTCGCAGATCGGTGAGAGAGAAAACAAATCGTCGAACATCAGCAAATTTTTGAGCCCTCTCGGCTTGAACGCGACCAGAGCTTGTGCCTTGTGCGGATGCGAACTCGTGCAGATCGGGTCCTCGTCATCCACCCCAATGCCCTGGAACTGGTACAGGGCGTGGTTGCCAAACTCCGAGGCCGCGAACAGAAACCCGGTCTTGAGCACGCAAATAGAGGTTGTTACTGGGATGGTGTCGAAGTACTTGATTTGAATTTCGTTCACGATCTCTTCCTCGGAAGTGAGTGTCACCTTGTACAGGTCCCCGTATTCGGACTGGATCAGGAAGAAGAAAAACTCCCGGAGCTTGTGCATCGCACAACTCACGATCATGAGACCTGCATAGATTTTGAATTTTTGAAAGATAATTTAGGACTTTTCTTGCATGAGCGTGGGCGGGAACGACAACGGGTCTACTTACTTCAAGAAATTTGTCAACCAGTAGTACATGGCTTCATAGCTATTGCGAGTTCTACTTCAGTCATCGCACCACAATGTTATGTCAACATGATAGTTGTCATAGCAGTGTAGTAGATGAAGCGGGCAGTTAGAGTTATCTACTAGTATAGTACCTTTATCCTGTGCCATCTCCAACCTTCTGGGTATTGCGCACATGACGTCTGGGTGTCCCTGCTTTTTGTAGCAGAGGTGGTTTTCGCAGCACACCAAAACGCCCCCCGGCCCCTCGCTCAAGCCCCCCGGTACCGGGATCAACAAGTGCGCGGAGTCTTCTACCGTGTCTGTGTACTTTCTGATCACGTGATTCAACCCCAGATCCAATTCGTAAAACGTGAGCTGCTTCTTTGGCATCTCCGCTTCTGGATCCTCATCGATTTTCTCCGTGGAGACTTCCAAACAGGGACTATGACAGTGCACAATTCCCCCTCTCCCTCATTTGTATTGCATGAACAGCAATACGAGCGTCAGCAAGGATACAGGTTTCGCATGACAAATTTGGACAGAAGTGTAGTGCTATTTGGGCTGCCAGAACTTATCATGCAAACAATGCCAAGGGGTAAGGCGCAAATTAGGTATTTTGCATGACAAATGGGGTGGAGGGGGAGTTGTGCACTCTCGTAAGCAAAGACGGGGTTCTCGAACCCGACATCCAACCCGACTTGGTGGAAACAGATTATGGGTGTGTCAGGATCGAAATCGACAAGATCGAAAAACTTGTGATGCATAAAATGTAGGGCACTGAAGGCCTGCATTGGGGAGCAGGCAAATGAGGCCAATTGTAAGTCTGTTTAGGGGTATGCAATGTGCTGCCAGATTAGCACGACAGGAGCAGCCTTCTTTGCCCAAACAGCATGACAGACTGGATTTGGGCGCTCCCAAAATTTGTCATGCGCCACTTGGAAATTGACGCTCCAACTCACTGACTGACATCGATTTTCTGCATCACAAATTTTTCGATTTTGTCAATTTCGATCCTGACGCTTCCATACAGATCGCGTTGTCCTTATGCGCCTCCAGGGGGGAAGAGATCGTCAGTTTGTTTGAGGAGTCCCGGTTCAGAATGTACGCGAACTTTTGCCGCTCCAGGGCGCCTGTAGAAGATAATTTTCATTTTGAACAAAGTGCATAAATTAATATTTCTGATTCTGACGACAGGAGGACGAAAATCTTCTGCTCTTCTTCTTCTTTTTACAAGTGAAAAATATCATTTCAACAAGCTGTGACGCAGATAAATGTTCGCGTGTAGAAGTTGCCGCACCCGCGCCGCCAGGGGCGCTACTAGAAATAGATACCTATCATGCACGCCCTTCCTTTGGGATCCACTGCGAGATATTGGCCCGGAATTACCCTTCGGCAGCCGCTTTTTCCATAGGTTTCCTGGTGGACTTTGTTGAAGACGTTTTTCGCGGTGTCAAATTCCAGGATGACTATCCTCCCGCTGTCGGATCCCACCAAGATGTAATCCCGATTTGCCCCCGTGAGGCGGAAGGGTGCCAGCGTTCGGATGATACCGAAGATTTCCGTGGCGTAAATCGACTGGATTTTCCCCTGGTCGTCCGGTCGGAGCAGTTCCAGGATCTTTCCCCTGGAAACCACCACCTCCTGCGACTTTGCGGCAGAAAAATTCCCGTAGATCGCATTGGTAATAGCCGTCGACCGCTGCAGGGTCAGGGAATAAAGGTGCGGCATTTTTTTTTCTGTTGCTGGATTTTTTGGTAAAAATTTAAAATGCTACATGAAAAATTTTGGTCGTTTTGTCGCTTGCTGAGAGAACAAAGAGTAAAAACTGACTTACTGTTACTGCCATTTGATTTGGTAAAAAAGGCAAAGATTAAGTCTGAAACTCAAACTCTACAACTACAAGGTCTACGTACCGGTACCACCTATTAGTTTGCCGCGGCCTGAGATTGATGTTACGAAAATGTTGTGACACACATGCGAATGACATGATCATCAAATGTTGTTGTTCCTGTTCTTTCGACCAGCATGCACAAGCAAACCGCTCTGTTTGCAATTGATGATCCACTTGGAGGACCACAAGGAAATTTGAATTTCTGAAAAAAAAACCAGATGTTGATCGAGAAAAAGAGGAAAAGCATCTTCCATTTCGACGCAACGCCAGCTCTTACTACAGCTGGTGCTGGTGAGACCAAGATCGAAAAATAAAAGGTTTCAGTTGCCTCGTTTTTTACATCGTGGCAGGCTGGTTCCTCTTTCCTGCAGTTTCAACATTATCCATTTGCTACCCATCCTTCTTCGTGGGTTTAAAAATTCGCTGCAATTCTGCTTCTTTCTCAACAAAAACAACACTTCACAATGACAAGTATGTAAGTATGTGGTTTTGGTGGGAATAAAAGTGATCATGATGAACTTATGTGGCTTTCGTAGATCTTCTTCAGGCTGCATTACCATTACGACCAGTGTTTTGTTGGCGAGGAAGATATCACTGAGAGTTATCAAGATCTTTTCATCTTTCCAAAAATGACTTCCTAGCGAAGTTGATCTTCTTCGGGTTCAAGATTCTTCATGAAGATCCGATCATCCTTTTCGATAACATGCACAAACATGGATACCGCTAGTACCTTGTCTACAAATAAAATCGATGGCGATGAACCGCGCGCATACTTCTTGTTTCTGACCGCTTGCACAACAGCTACAGCAGGCGTTCAACATCACACCATATGAAAGCATATAGCGAGAGTAGAGAGCTTGAGCTCGCTTTATTTTTTCTGATTTTTATTCTGTGGTTGTATTGCGCACAACTTTTCTTCGCCTCAATTTAGCAGCCACAAGAATCAGGAGCAAAAGCTTCGATGTTCATTCGCCACTGTTGCGGAGGACAGGGCAGCCCTCACAAAAATTTTGCTACAACTAGCCTGATGCACCAGTTTTCATGTTGCACTACGTTCGTCATATAAGTACTAGCTACAGGCACCGAAGCCGATATTCCTGGCGGTATTGCAGAGGTGCCGCAGATTTCTCGTCGTGCTCGCTATTCGTTGTTGCGAACAAAAAAGTAAAGAAAAGAAGAACCAAGGCCAGACGCTAGTATTAGTGAACGGGAACAAGACGACCAGCATGCACGTTGTAGACAATCTGAAAACAAAACGCGCACATGCAGCCCAGAAGAAGAAACTAAAGATTTTTTCCTACAACAAAGAACAATAAACCTTTCTTTTTTCAATGATCGATATAACACACACGTGCTGTTGTTCCAGACTCAAAGTAGAAAAACGTGAGGACGGACCATGGCAGCGAAAGATGAGCTAAAAAAGCAATTTTGTCAAAACAAGCATAGAACGGATGCTCTAGCTGTTCGACATTTTTCCAAGCGATTTGCTACTTTCAATCTGTGCCAGACGCGAGAGAAGCACAAAGAACTACGAGACAAAAAACTAAACTAACTTTTTATCTTCTATGTCGATTCATCGTCGACGGCACATATTAAGAAGAACGCCGCACCACGCGTTGTGAAATCCTGTCGTGCTTCGGGCCCTTCGTCTCTTGTTCTTGCTTGGGGGTCTCGAAACGGGATTTGGCAGGCTTGAGTTCACGATAGTGATGAAGATCCTCCTGTCAGAAACTACCACAAACTACAAAAACCTGTGCTAGTGCTAGTCCTTGTTGTGAACCTGTGCCGTCAAGAATGACAATGCGTCAAAAATGTGGTAGTACGATCTTCACCCCCAAGCCCACCACCACTAGGAAGCCCGGGCATAACAGCGAACCGCCAGCGTTACTTAGTACAATGTGCAGACGAGTAAAGTTTTTGTCCCCCGGCATCAATACCGTTGCTATTTGTACTGATCTCCTCGTGCGCGGCTTTATTATTTTTTCAGAATTTCCTATTAAGTTCTAGACGCGAACTTTTGGTCGATCGTCCTGAAATGTCTCTATCAAATTCCTTCTTCATCAAACTAGTCATCCTTGTCTTTATTCTCTGAAATTCATTATCATGGTCTGCGATTTTCATTTTGCTCCACTCGTTAATAGCGCCGAGGCAGAACTAGAAGTAAATGGCAAACAACTTTCGCAGAGTCCATCTTTGATTATCAGTTCTTTCCGGTAGAAGTGATGTTACCACTTCCAGCACGCCTTTCACCCTGTGAGTGAGTTGCATCGTCGTCCTGCTGAGTGCTTCCTTGCATCAACATAGAAAAGGTTCTGATTCAAAAGGAAGCACCACGAGCGAACTAGGCACAACTTGCTTCCTCCCCTGCATGATATCTCCTCAAACGGAGTGATCTCCATCTGCTGGAAATGGACAGAAAATGTCCTCACCAAGAAAAGCAGACGACCAGTGTCTCGATATTAGCTAAGTGCGCTTGTACGGCGCTGTTGTAATGTCTGATCATTATGTCCAAAATCAATTGTAATCGTTAATATTCAGCAGCAACTTCTGCCCCAAATCAAGTAGAAACCCAAATGATGTACTTATTCACTACGGTGCCTCGTGCGAGCCTGGGGCTGGGCCCAGAAAGTAGAGATCGCTATTTTTCAATCTGTATTTCTAAGTTTTATCACGACCGCTGCAGGGAAAACAGTTCCAAATAATTTATAATTCTGTCGTTATTTCATCATATGTGGCAGTGAGTCAATAGCTTGGTCTGTTTAACAATAATGAAGCAAAAACAACTCACTGAGGCCTTCTCGTTTTAAGTTCTTCCTCCTCGTTGTAAGTACGGCAAGGATCTTCTGCAATGGAGAAGACCCAAAGGCATACAAGTTGGAGGTGCAGTTGGTGAGTTCGGATTACCAAAACAAGAAAGACAAATTATAAATACCAAAAGCAAAAGAGCGATACCTCTACGTCCGTGGTCCATGATACACAGAGCTACACCTGTTGGACTGAACAAATTTCTGTAGATTCAATCATAGTTTGTCTCTTCACACAAAAGAAAAAAAAAGCTACCAGCTACACTTGTAGCAAAGGAGCAGCAAATAATGCTGTGTCGAGAGTAAGCGAAGCAAAGGCCATCTTAATCTACTTTTCAATTTCGTAGGAATAGGCTGCACTACCACGATTTTCTGCATACATATTTTTTCCGTATTTCTTCCTTTATCCCTCTTACTACATCAGACGTTTCTCCTTCACAATTCTAACACAATGCACTAGCCGGAGCCTCCGACTAGTACTTCTGTGGCCTTTCTATCCACCTGATCCTGTATATGCGATAGTACTCTCTAAACTTTGTAATTTCAACCTCTTTCGTGCAACGCCGCCTATTTTGGTGATTATGGGTCGTGGTGTTTGCGACTGCAAATCAACTAATGACGTTCTGGTTGAAAAAAGTAAAGACTTTTTGCGCGGAAGCGGATAGATTTCCGATTGCAATAAAACTCCTTCGGTTGTCATACGCTTTGTTTTTTTTTTGCCTACACTTTTGAGTACTTCTAGAAGATGTTGTCTTGTTTTGTTTGTCTTCTATTGCTGTCAGAGGGGCCGCCCCGAGCGTAACGTTTGTCCTGGCACTCTGAGTGCTACTTTCCAGTGAGGGTGATCCAAAGACTTTCGAAAAATCAAGGCCAATCCACGATTTCGCGGAGGCTTGTCAGGCTAACACAGCCCGAGCAACTCCTCACGGCGAGATCTCAGTGGCAATGGAAATGATATCATTGAGCGCGATCCTAATAGTAGGTCTGCCATTTTTTTCTTCGACTTCGTTCGATCACTATCGTTAGAAAAGAAGACGACACAAAAAACAGTAAAACTCGTTCCCCATGCTTCACAGCAAAGAAATTTGTCCTGAGCTGCGGAACAAAGGAGAACCTAGTACTGCCTCTACTGTCCTCTTCAGAAGTTACCTACTGCAAAAACTGCCTCTATTTTGAAAACACCGGATCGAAGACATTATTATTTGCATTGATTTAAGTTAACATATCGCGCAAAAAAAAAGATAAATTTTTATCCTGTTCTTTGGTCTCTTGTTTTCGTATTTACAAGCAAAAGGTCACTACACTGTAAGCACATCATCTAGGTTTGGATTTTTTAGAAGCAGAAGCAAATAGAGATAGAGATTGATAGAGCAATAGGTCGCTCAACATGCAGAGACCCTTGAGATATCGTGGCATTCTTCATCACCGTCTACGTCTTCCACTCTCCCATGCAAAATTCGTGCCCCTTGTTCCTGAGGAACTAATGTTGATTTTCGTTTTCGTTCTTTAACCCCGTGGTCCTGTCCGACTGCCGGCAAAGAAATTCCTCTTGCAAGAATTTCTCTACAAGCAAGAACCTCTAGGGTTTTTTTTTCTCTGAGGGTGTAGTATTGTAGGGCTTTCTATTTCGAATTTTGTAGGCGGGAGGCTCCTTGTTTATTATTATTCACGTGTTTTCGACCGGATAAAAAAAATTTTGTATCATATGTCGAGAAAATAACTGTGCGCTCCTTTCGCATTGAGATTGATTCTATGCATTTATAAATTGTTTTGCTGTGTTAAATGAAGGATGTTTTTTGCGCTGTAACCCTGAACAAACCCTTCAGTATTTCAGCTAAAGTCCGCTGTAAATCATTTGATCAATATCTATCATGTGGCAACAACTACATCTACATCTAGTACAATATGGGGTCGTACTGCTATGCAGCTGCGGCGTTTTGTCGTGTACAAAAATAGTACAGCTTGTAGCCTCACTTTTTGGTGGTTGTAGTACAGGTTTAGATTTTTTTCTACCGCCTTCCCAAAATGTAGTACTAGTACTAGTATTTCAATCGACTTGCATAGCTTTCGCATTCTCCAGCTTTTACTCTCTTCCCCAAACGACCACCTCAGGTCTTCCCTACGCCAGCATCCCGGCGACTTTGGCCCGGCGGTGGGATGTGCGCCACTGCCGTTCCAACTCTGCCGCGGGGTTGCGGTTGGTGGCCGCAGCGGGCTCCAACACCCCATCCTCCCGTTGTCCCGCGTGGTCCGGGGTCGCCGGCCGGCTGCCCGCTTGCGACGTGCTGCCGCGACTCGAAGCGTCGTGATCGAAGTGGAAGTCGCCTTCGTACGTGATAAAACTGGGCAGATACTCCGTGGTTTGTTTTAACTGTTCGCCGAGCACCTCCAGGTTCGGTTCCTCCTCAAATTTGATGGTTTTGCACCGCAGCTCGTTCTTCTTTTATCCTGAGTAAAAACGTCCCCACACCAGAGTCAAGCTGGGAAATCTGCTAGACAAATCTGTCAGCTTTTGCTGTTGCGCATGACAAGTTTGGCCTCGCGGTGTAATCCCGTTTAGCTTGTTCAGCAGCATCACAGTTCTAGCATATCATGCTGATTCTAGCATCACAAATCCCACACCACGACGAGAGACTGCTTCTCATGGGTCTCCGCATGAGAAACATTTTCAGCATGCAGATTTGCATTACAACTCTAGGGTAGGGACGTTTTTACAAATGATATCTTTTTCTTCTTTTTCATCCCGTTTTGCTGTTCCTCCAGCTCTCCATTCTGCTCTCCACCTTCTTCGCCCGCAATCATCCCGACCTCGTTACACAGATCCTGGCCGCTGTCCTGCAAGGTCGTGGAGCCAGCGATGCACCAAACGACATCCTGACAAGCGACCCGCTCCGCGGGGCCGTCGCCGATGGACAGGATGCTTCCGACGGTGTGATGGGACTGCAGCTTGTAGTCGAAACTCGCAAGGATTTTGTCCTTGTCCACCAAATTGGCCCGGGCAAAACTGTCAGAGGAATCGAACGACCCACGCTCGCTGTTGCTCCCATTGGTATAGTCGCCCCCGTGTTGATGACCTGGTGGTCCACCGGGGAAGGTATAGCCCTGTAGCCCGCCGGGCAAGTCCTCTGTCACGGTCCGGCCGGAGTGGTCTTTTTCCCACTGTACCGCAGATGCCAACCGCTCGGCGAGCGAGGCAGCGAGGGGAGCAAGGGCGGTGGCAGTTTCGTTTTTCCTGTTGTTGGCAGCTGGTGCTCGCGGAGGGGGCGTAGGTATCATGACAGATGAAATGTTTGTTCCGCGCACACCGCCCGTCATCTGGTCGATATCCTCGCCAAACGTAGCGCTCGTGCTGCCCAACGTGAACGAATTCACGGTTTTCTTCGGCTCGCTCACAGTAGAACTACGAGGGAGAGAGGAACTGGAGCTGCTTTCCTGTTGCCGCTGCCGGTAGGCAGAACTTTGGGCCGGTTCTTGTTTGCGCAGGCCCGTTGTATGAAAGTGCGCAAGTAGTCGACGTCCCTCTGCCCCTGCTGCTCATTTGTAATGCAAAATACCAAATTCACCTCTAATTGCGTGAGAAATCTTCGAACAAGGTGAAACAGTACCACAATCCGAATAATACCGTGCGCATTATTTTTCATGCGGAAGACCCATTATTTGCTCTGCCGTGGCTTGTGTCGCTGCGGATGCACAACTTCAAATGACAAGACAGGGACATCTTCGAGTTGTGCACTGTCATATCGGGGCAACAGGTTTCCAAAGAAGGCTTCGTCCGCATCTGGCTCCTCCGGGCCGACGTCATTGTGCACCACTTCCACGCGGGCCGGCCCCGTGGGAGACGGCGGCTCCTCGCTGGGTTTTCCGAACAGGCTACCTCCCGCTTGTTTCTTCCCCCCGATTTCGATGTGAGCCTGCTTGTCTAGAAACCGACTGAGAGAGCTGGCGGTTTGGCTTGGCGCATCCGACCCGGCGGGGAGCCCCAAGCCCCGCTGCAACGCGGAGGAGGTGGCGGATTGGCTGCTGCGAATCGTGCCCAACCCGTAGGACATGAAGGAATCGCGGGCTGACACGGCGTACGAGTTTTCCGTGGACACGGTGTCGCGCCGGTCCATGTGGCGGTTCAAACTTTCGTTTTCCTGGATCGAAGCCGGGTGAAGATGGCCAATAAATGTGCCCCCCCGCGAACTGGGATCTGCCTCCGAGTCCGACATCTGCGTCACCGAGGCGAACGAGTCCCCGCGCGAACCGTGCCGCAGCATCTCGGCCACCCTGTCGTGCCCGCCGCGATGCGAAAAATCTGGCTCGTTGCTTCGTTGCATTATACTCTGCTGGGTGGTGTTCGTGCCACGCATGCTATCATCTTCTACTTCGGCGGCCTCATCATCTACTTCGGGATCATGATGTCCACTAGCACTTGCTCCACCAACTTGTTCTCCGCGACGGGATTTTTTCGACCTGGCACTAGCCGCAGCTGCGTTGCTGATGCGTCGCTGGAATTTGAACTGCGGCTGGCCGGTTTGGACCAGCAGTCTGGTGTGCGGGTCGTCAATAGCCTGCTGTTGATACCGCCAAAGCACGTTTCTAGGCGAGTCCACAGCGGTGCCAAACACCTCGCAGCCCAACTCGGTGCCGCACGCGGACGAAACGCCGCTTATCAAATGCAAATACGTCTGGGTCTGCAAGAATACAAACTTATGATGCGCATTTTAGAACGCAGAAAAATCTCTCATGCATATTAGGTAGCAAAAGCTGGCCACTTTCTGTCACCAAAGTGGGGGATTTCTCATGCGGGTTCGGCATTGCCGAAGCTTCTCGAAACCTGTGATGCTAGAGCTTCCATGCCAGACCTTCTGTGCCATGCAAGAACAGCATGACTCTTCCAGACCCAGACATATTTGCAATCGATACCGCTGGCACTGGAACCAGTGGAGCCGGAGGACAGACGCGAGCCTTGACTGGAAGACGACCCGAATTTCGCCGCTTCAAGGTGCATCAGCTGGGACCCGACGGCGTCCTGATGTGATAATTGCTTTATTAAAATTCACACTGTGCTGCACACGCACAATGCTAGCACATCTACAATTTCCGGGCCGATGTGCTGCGGATCCTAGACCTAGTAGTAGGTTTAGAATAACAAGGCCATGGTGACTTCTGGTGCGGGGGTCTTTACGATTCGGATTCGTCGCTTAAGCCTATACGAATAATGGGTTTGATGTGGATTTCATACCTTATGTGCCTTCTTCCATAACTTCTCCTGACTCTTTACCACCACCTTCATCACCTTCTTGAACGCATTCCGTTTCGCCACCATGAACGGGTCGCACCCCTCCTCCTGTTGGCACAGCATCGCCTCGCGCCGGCTCAAGTACTCGCGCGCGTAGTACACGTTGACACCCATTTCGGTCAGTGTGGTCTCGGTGAAACCAGGCAACCGCTGTGCGGCAGAACGGGAAACCTGATAAGTGAGAGTGCCTACGTTTTTTCTGTTGCAGCTCGTCGTGCTTTTGTTCTATCCTGACACTTATTTACACGCAAGCAAGGCAATGCTGGAGAAAAAAATGCATGGAATATGAGTTTTAGTTTTTCCTTTTGAAATCTAATGCAAAAACAGTAAAAAAATCGTCTTTGTAGTTCTACCCATCCCGTCTTCCCGAGTGTAACAATGAAGACGTGCGGCGTGAGGTTCAATGCGGTGCGAATAATCGTGAGGATCAACTGTGCGTGGTCGTTCAGACCGTCGTAGAAATCGTCCGTGGGGTCCAGTTTGTAGTCAGAATTCTGTACGTTTCGATGTTGAAAAAGGTTCTATTTGCAATTACTACATCCACAACTACTTCTCGGCCATGCATAGTTCTAAAAATCAAGACCAAATCCAAAATCTTAACCTTGAAAAACTATTGCCAGACGAAGAACAGGGCTGAAAATCGTCCACCACACAAACTTAATCTTAAAGTATTTGAGAGAGAGAGAGATAACCTACATAGTTGAACTAGGCAGGACAGTATACGACGAACATCACACAGAAGAACGCTGGCCTTGCTCCCGTCCAACTGCTAGCGTGATGCCTCTCCGCCCACCTCGCAGCGCCTTCAGAAATGGCCCGGCTGACTACTCTCGGTTCGGATGCTGCTCGCGGATGCTGCTTGATGTGATCTTGTTGCCCTAGCCGAAGTTCTGCTTTCAGGTAGTACAGGCCTGGTAGAGGGCGACGAACTAGACCGAAGACTAGAACGCCCCCCAGCTACCGCGAGGTTTTTAGTAGTCAGATTGCGTCAAGGCCGGCCGGAAGACACTGGGATAGTTTACCTGTGGCCTTGTAGCCCGAGTCTGGTTCAAACCGTTCTACGCGCTGATGTCATCCCCCATGTCCGTGAAGAGTAAGGCGGCAAGTTAAGGGGGAATTGAGATGACGGGGAACTTAAAAAATAAAAAGGCAATCGAAAGCAAACTAGTTCCCCGGCTCGACATGCGGCGACGCTGCTCTTCCACGCAGCGCCCCGGCGAGCAGTTGACGGGGCACTCACTCACTGGACAGGCCGTCTCCCGCTCAGCGGCGTGGCGCGGCTGTTCTACCAGGAAAGCACTACAGATAGCTTTGCCGCTACTGAATTATGTAATATTCATCTTAAAGTGAGTATTTGAATTATGTAATATTCATCTTCATCTACTTCGTCCGTAAGCTATACAATTTGTACCATGCTGCAGAATTTCAATCCGGTGACGCAGGGCAGCACGACGTTGCCGATGTACCAGGTAGGTAGCAATGTGTCGTCCCAATCAAACACCACGATGTGTGCCGGAGCCGGCCTCGCTTCCACATGCAGCTCCTTCCAGGATTTTGCCCGCGGCTGCGGTACTAGTCCACCACCTCCCGGGGCGGTTGGAGCCAGAGCCCCGTCCTCGCCGTGTCCTATCATTGTGCCCTCCACTCCTGCCAGCGAGCCCCGACGAGACACAGACACCAATCCTCCCCCGCCGGCAGACGAAGGTGCGAACCCGGAGCTCGCGGCAGAGGATCTGGCTGTGTCGACGTGGGGACCACGCTGGTCGTCCGTGTAGTTGTCAATGACTGTCCCCCTGGCCGCGGATAATTGCAGCGGCGGGACGAGGTGACCGGTGAATGCTTGTGGTTGTTGTCCTGGACCAAAACCAAAACCTCCTTGTTCTGGCGATGGTGAAGAGGACCCTGTTGGATCACCAGCTTCCCCGACCGAGTCGGAATTCCGCAACGCGTCAAAGTCGTCGGACGCGAAGGAACTCGCGTCGTCTCCCCGTGCCCCGTGCTGCGGTCTGTAGTGTCGTCGCGGCGGTTCGGTGTGAAACAAAACTGGCGGTGCGGAATTGAATTGGCTCGGCTGTAGTCGCTGTTGCGACGCGTCGAGATGGGCTTGGTACTGCTGGATTTGTTCCGCGGTGAGGCCTTGGGTTTGCATGTGAAGCAGCTGCTGGTCGGACAGGGCCGTTTGCTGGTTTTGCAAGTCCTGCATCACAGCGTCCTGCTGGTGTTGGGGTCCTCCGTAGGGACTGTGGTCCTGTTCAAGCTGCGCAAGGCCGCGTTGTAGGTGCTGCTGGTGCTGCGCGCTGATCTGCGCCTGCTGCTGCTGGAGCAGCAGGTCGGGAGGCGGCGTTGTGCTAAGTATGGGAATGGAAACCGCATCGACGCTCGGTTTGTGTAGTAGATGTAGATGTAGTGAATGCATGCAATAGCTCAGCAGGCCCTGCCCTCGCGCATACCCTCTACTAAGAAACAGTTCCAGAACAAGGGCAGTCCTTTTCCTTTATCTGTCATACATAAGTCGGCGAATCACAAACCGAGGGAAGTGTCATATAGGTTTATTTCTACATGCGATACGTGTCGTAGTTGATTTGCTGGCGCTGCCGGGCCGGCGGTTTCGGGTTGCGCCTCCGCCGTACGGACTGGCTTCAGCCAAGGCCGGCAAGCTGTCCCTGGACCTCGTCTTGTAGGCGGAGTAGGCGCTTTTCCCGCTGCGGTGGCTGTGCACGGAGAGCTTGTCGTCGTCGTCATCTTGTTGCTGCACAGCGGATGGACGCAGCATTAACGGGTTCATCATCAGCAACGATTGCTGTTGTTGCAAAGAGACTGCAGCCTGAGGCACCAAAGCAGAAGGGCCATTAGGTGCTGGTGCTGGCGCGCCGTCGATTACGGTAGACGTCAAGTTCTGCTGCATCGGTTGCGGCGGTTGGTCGCTTTGATGGTACTGCTGCATGTACTGCTGTTGCTGCTGCTGCAGCAGTTGGTGCTGTAAAAGCCGCTGCTCCGAAGTCATCATCGCTTCGTCTTGATTGGGGTCTGCCGAAGTGGAGTATGATTGTGAATAAAATCTTCATCACGACCTTATCGCTATCCCCCCCTCACTGTCTGTTTCAGATTCAGTTTGTGGTCATGCATGATGAAATGCAAAAGCAAAGTGAAAGTCCTTGGAAAGCATGCACTATTTCAATTTCATGTACCAGTAGATGAGCATTTTTCCAACGAATTTTTGAGGGAGATGAGCGTGCTGTTGAGCAGGGTCAGTGTCATTTTAAAAGGCATAAAGTGCCCGCAAGGTCGCGTTGTAGCTGCTGCATCCCCGCTATCAATCCGGGCACCGACGCAACGGAAGACTCCTTCGACAAATTTCGGCCCCCGGCGTCACCAGACGCAATGCTCTCGGGACTCAGCCGGCCTTGCTGCCCGTCGGGACTGGGCAGCCCGGCCGCACTCGGATCGGGGAGCGACCCGATGGTCGGCGTGCGGCGCCACAAGCCGGTAGCAGACGGTAGTCGGTTGTTACTCCGGGTCCGAAACCCGCCATCGCTTCCGGACACCAGCCCCTCCAAGCTGCTCGCCCCGCCCGGGGATTCCGTGCGATTCAGAAAGGGCGGCGTCCCACCGGGAATCGGGGGGCCGCCCGGCGGCGGCAGCGGCGACCCGCCCGGCGGATGGGGCACGCCAAAACCCAGGCATAGAGACGAAATAGGTGATCTTCAGCATTGTTCTTATCCCTAAAGAAATTCGCAGCATACCATCGGGATTTGCCCTTTTTTTTGCGCCAACGCAGGGGCTGCAGTTTTTATGGTCGCGTCTGCGTAGGAGTGCTGCTGCCTTCCCTGGCGGGTTTTTTCACGCGGCCCAGGCGTCTTTCTAGAGGAACCAACAGGCACGCCAACACCCCGACGANCTATCCTGAGTAAAAACGTCCCCACACCAGAGTCAAGCTGGGAAATCTGCTAGACAAATCTGTCAGCTTTTGCTGTTGCGCATGACAAGTTTGGCCTCGCGGTGTAATCCCGTTTAGCTTGTTCAGCAGCATCACAGTTCTAGCATATCATGCTGATTCTAGCATCACAAATCCCACACCACGACGAGAGACTGCTTCTCATGGGTCTCCGCATGAGAAACATTTTCAGCATGCAGATTTGCATTACAACTCTAGGGTAGGGACGTTTTTACAAATGATATCTTTTTCTTCTTTTTCATCCCGTTTTGCTGTTCCTCCAGCTCTCCATTCTGCTCTCCACCTTCTTCGCCCGCAATCATCCCGACCTCGTTACACAGATCCTGGCCGCTGTCCTGCAAGGTCGTGGAGCCAGCGATGCACCAAACGACATCCTGACAAGCGACCCGCTCCGCGGGGCCGTCGCCGATGGACAGGATGCTTCCGACGGTGTGATGGGACTGCAGCTTGTAGTCGAAACTCGCAAGGATTTTGTCCTTGTCCACCAAATTGGCCCGGGCAAAACTGTCAGAGGAATCGAACGACCCACGCTCGCTGTTGCTCCCATTGGTATAGTCGCCCCCGTGTTGATGACCTGGTGGTCCACCGGGGAAGGTATAGCCCTGTAGCCCGCCGGGCAAGTCCTCTGTCACGGTCCGGCCGGAGTGGTCTTTTTCCCACTGTACCGCAGATGCCAACCGCTCGGCGAGCGAGGCAGCGAGGGGAGCAAGGGCGGTGGCAGTTTCGTTTTTCCTGTTGTTGGCAGCTGGTGCTCGCGGAGGGGGCGTAGGTATCATGACAGATGAAATGTTTGTTCCGCGCACACCGCCCGTCATCTGGTCGATATCCTCGCCAAACGTAGCGCTCGTGCTGCCCAACGTGAACGAATTCACGGTTTTCTTCGGCTCGCTCACAGTAGAACTACGAGGGAGAGAGGAACTGGAGCTGCTTTCCTGTTGCCGCTGCCGGTAGGCAGAACTTTGGGCCGGTTCTTGTTTGCGCAGGCCCGTTGTATGAAAGTGCGCAAGTAGTCGACGTCCCTCTGCCCCTGCTGCTCATTTGTAATGCAAAATACCAAATTCACCTCTAATTGCGTGAGAAATCTTCGAACAAGGTGAAACAGTACCACAATCCGAATAATACCGTGCGCATTATTTTTCATGCGGAAGACCCATTATTTGCTCTGCCGTGGCTTGTGTCGCTGCGGATGCACAACTTCAAATGACAAGACAGGGACATCTTCGAGTTGTGCACTGTCATATCGGGGCAACAGGTTTCCAAAGAAGGCTTCGTCCGCATCTGGCTCCTCCGGGCCGACGTCATTGTGCACCACTTCCACGCGGGCCGGCCCCGTGGGAGACGGCGGCTCCTCGCTGGGTTTTCCGAACAGGCTACCTCCCGCTTGTTTCTTCCCCCCGATTTCGATGTGAGCCTGCTTGTCTAGAAACCGACTGAGAGAGCTGGCGGTTTGGCTTGGCGCATCCGACCCGGCGGGGAGCCCCAAGCCCCGCTGCAACGCGGAGGAGGTGGCGGATTGGCTGCTGCGAATCGTGCCCAACCCGTAGGACATGAAGGAATCGCGGGCTGACACGGCGTACGAGTTTTCCGTGGACACGGTGTCGCGCCGGTCCATGTGGCGGTTCAAACTTTCGTTTTCCTGGATCGAAGCCGGGTGAAGATGGCCAATAAATGTGCCCCCCCGCGAACTGGGATCTGCCTCCGAGTCCGACATCTGCGTCACCGAGGCGAACGAGTCCCCGCGCGAACCGTGCCGCAGCATCTCGGCCACCCTGTCGTGCCCGCCGCGATGCGAAAAATCTGGCTCGTTGCTTCGTTGCATTATACTCTGCTGGGTGGTGTTCGTGCCACGCATGCTATCATCTTCTACTTCGGCGGCCTCATCATCTACTTCGGGATCATGATGTCCACTAGCACTTGCTCCACCAACTTGTTCTCCGCGACGGGATTTTTTCGACCTGGCACTAGCCGCAGCTGCGTTGCTGATGCGTCGCTGGAATTTGAACTGCGGCTGGCCGGTTTGGACCAGCAGTCTGGTGTGCGGGTCGTCAATAGCCTGCTGTTGATACCGCCAAAGCACGTTTCTAGGCGAGTCCACAGCGGTGCCAAACACCTCGCAGCCCAACTCGGTGCCGCACGCGGACGAAACGCCGCTTATCAAATGCAAATACGTCTGGGTCTGCAAGAATACAAACTTATGATGCGCATTTTAGAACGCAGAAAAATCTCTCATGCATATTAGGTAGCAAAAGCTGGCCACTTTCTGTCACCAAAGTGGGGGATTTCTCATGCGGGTTCGGCATTGCCGAAGCTTCTCGAAACCTGTGATGCTAGAGCTTCCATGCCAGACCTTCTGTGCCATGCAAGAACAGCATGACTCTTCCAGACCCAGACATATTTGCAATCGATACCGCTGGCACTGGAACCAGTGGAGCCGGAGGACAGACGCGAGCCTTGACTGGAAGACGACCCGAATTTCGCCGCTTCAAGGTGCATCAGCTGGGACCCGACGGCGTCCTGATGTGATAATTGCTTTATTAAAATTCACACTGTGCTGCACACGCACAATGCTAGCACATCTACAATTTCCGGGCCGATGTGCTGCGGATCCTAGACCTAGTAGTAGGTTTAGAATAACAAGGCCATGGTGACTTCTGGTGCGGGGGTCTTTACGATTCGGATTCGTCGCTTAAGCCTATACGAATAATGGGTTTGATGTGGATTTCATACCTTATGTGCCTTCTTCCATAACTTCTCCTGACTCTTTACCACCACCTTCATCACCTTCTTGAACGCATTCCGTTTCGCCACCATGAACGGGTCGCACCCCTCCTCCTGTTGGCACAGCATCGCCTCGCGCCGGCTCAAGTACTCGCGCGCGTAGTACACGTTGACACCCATTTCGGTCAGTGTGGTCTCGGTGAAACCAGGCAACCGCTGTGCGGCAGAACGGGAAACCTGATAAGTGAGAGTGCCTACGTTTTTTCTGTTGCAGCTCGTCGTGCTTTTGTTCTATCCTGACACTTATTTACACGCAAGCAAGGCAATGCTGGAGAAAAAAATGCATGGAATATGAGTTTTAGTTTTTCCTTTTGAAATCTAATGCAAAAACAGTAAAAAAATCGTCTTTGTAGTTCTACCCATCCCGTCTTCCCGAGTGTAACAATGAAGACGTGCGGCGTGAGGTTCAATGCGGTGCGAATAATCGTGAGGATCAACTGTGCGTGGTCGTTCAGACCGTCGTAGAAATCGTCCGTGGGGTCCAGTTTGTAGTCAGAATTCTGTACGTTTCGATGTTGAAAAAGGTTCTATTTGCAATTACTACATCCACAACTACTTCTCGGCCATGCATAGTTCTAAAAATCAAGACCAAATCCAAAATCTTAACCTTGAAAAACTATTGCCAGACGAAGAACAGGGCTGAAAATCGTCCACCACACAAACTTAATCTTAAAGTATTTGAGAGAGAGAGAGATAACCTACATAGTTGAACTAGGCAGGACAGTATACGACGAACATCACACAGAAGAACGCTGGCCTTGCTCCCGTCCAACTGCTAGCGTGATGCCTCTCCGCCCACCTCGCAGCGCCTTCAGAAATGGCCCGGCTGACTACTCTCGGTTCGGATGCTGCTCGCGGATGCTGCTTGATGTGATCTTGTTGCCCTAGCCGAAGTTCTGCTTTCAGGTAGTACAGGCCTGGTAGAGGGCGACGAACTAGACCGAAGACTAGAACGCCCCCCAGCTACCGCGAGGTTTTTAGTAGTCAGATTGCGTCAAGGCCGGCCGGAAGACACTGGGATAGTTTACCTGTGGCCTTGTAGCCCGAGTCTGGTTCAAACCGTTCTACGCGCTGATGTCATCCCCCATGTCCGTGAAGAGTAAGGCGGCAAGTTAAGGGGGAATTGAGATGACGGGGAACTTAAAAAATAAAAAGGCAATCGAAAGCAAACTAGTTCCCCGGCTCGACATGCGGCGACGCTGCTCTTCCACGCAGCGCCCCGGCGAGCAGTTGACGGGGCACTCACTCACTGGACAGGCCGTCTCCCGCTCAGCGGCGTGGCGCGGCTGTTCTACCAGGAAAGCACTACAGATAGCTTTGCCGCTACTGAATTATGTAATATTCATCTTAAAGTGAGTATTTGAATTATGTAATATTCATCTTCATCTACTTCGTCCGTAAGCTATACAATTTGTACCATGCTGCAGAATTTCAATCCGGTGACGCAGGGCAGCACGACGTTGCCGATGTACCAGGTAGGTAGCAATGTGTCGTCCCAATCAAACACCACGATGTGTGCCGGAGCCGGCCTCGCTTCCACATGCAGCTCCTTCCAGGATTTTGCCCGCGGCTGCGGTACTAGTCCACCACCTCCCGGGGCGGTTGGAGCCAGAGCCCCGTCCTCGCCGTGTCCTATCATTGTGCCCTCCACTCCTGCCAGCGAGCCCCGACGAGACACAGACACCAATCCTCCCCCGCCGGCAGACGAAGGTGCGAACCCGGAGCTCGCGGCAGAGGATCTGGCTGTGTCGACGTGGGGACCACGCTGGTCGTCCGTGTAGTTGTCAATGACTGTCCCCCTGGCCGCGGATAATTGCAGCGGCGGGACGAGGTGACCGGTGAATGCTTGTGGTTGTTGTCCTGGACCAAAACCAAAACCTCCTTGTTCTGGCGATGGTGAAGAGGACCCTGTTGGATCACCAGCTTCCCCGACCGAGTCGGAATTCCGCAACGCGTCAAAGTCGTCGGACGCGAAGGAACTCGCGTCGTCTCCCCGTGCCCCGTGCTGCGGTCTGTAGTGTCGTCGCGGCGGTTCGGTGTGAAACAAAACTGGCGGTGCGGAATTGAATTGGCTCGGCTGTAGTCGCTGTTGCGACGCGTCGAGATGGGCTTGGTACTGCTGGATTTGTTCCGCGGTGAGGCCTTGGGTTTGCATGTGAAGCAGCTGCTGGTCGGACAGGGCCGTTTGCTGGTTTTGCAAGTCCTGCATCACAGCGTCCTGCTGGTGTTGGGGTCCTCCGTAGGGACTGTGGTCCTGTTCAAGCTGCGCAAGGCCGCGTTGTAGGTGCTGCTGGTGCTGCGCGCTGATCTGCGCCTGCTGCTGCTGGAGCAGCAGGTCGGGAGGCGGCGTTGTGCTAAGTATGGGAATGGAAACCGCATCGACGCTCGGTTTGTGTAGTAGATGTAGATGTAGTGAATGCATGCAATAGCTCAGCAGGCCCTGCCCTCGCGCATACCCTCTACTAAGAAACAGTTCCAGAACAAGGGCAGTCCTTTTCCTTTATCTGTCATACATAAGTCGGCGAATCACAAACCGAGGGAAGTGTCATATAGGTTTATTTCTACATGCGATACGTGTCGTAGTTGATTTGCTGGCGCTGCCGGGCCGGCGGTTTCGGGTTGCGCCTCCGCCGTACGGACTGGCTTCAGCCAAGGCCGGCAAGCTGTCCCTGGACCTCGTCTTGTAGGCGGAGTAGGCGCTTTTCCCGCTGCGGTGGCTGTGCACGGAGAGCTTGTCGTCGTCGTCATCTTGTTGCTGCACAGCGGATGGACGCAGCATTAACGGGTTCATCATCAGCAACGATTGCTGTTGTTGCAAAGAGACTGCAGCCTGAGGCACCAAAGCAGAAGGGCCATTAGGTGCTGGTGCTGGCGCGCCGTCGATTACGGTAGACGTCAAGTTCTGCTGCATCGGTTGCGGCGGTTGGTCGCTTTGATGGTACTGCTGCATGTACTGCTGTTGCTGCTGCTGCAGCAGTTGGTGCTGTAAAAGCCGCTGCTCCGAAGTCATCATCGCTTCGTCTTGATTGGGGTCTGCCGAAGTGGAGTATGATTGTGAATAAAATCTTCATCACGACCTTATCGCTATCCCCCCCTCACTGTCTGTTTCAGATTCAGTTTGTGGTCATGCATGATGAAATGCAAAAGCAAAGTGAAAGTCCTTGGAAAGCATGCACTATTTCAATTTCATGTACCAGTAGATGAGCATTTTTCCAACGAATTTTTGAGGGAGATGAGCGTGCTGTTGAGCAGGGTCAGTGTCATTTTAAAAGGCATAAAGTGCCCGCAAGGTCGCGTTGTAGCTGCTGCATCCCCGCTATCAATCCGGGCACCGACGCAACGGAAGACTCCTTCGACAAATTTCGGCCCCCGGCGTCACCAGACGCAATGCTCTCGGGACTCAGCCGGCCTTGCTGCCCGTCGGGACTGGGCAGCCCGGCCGCACTCGGATCGGGGAGCGACCCGATGGTCGGCGTGCGGCGCCACAAGCCGGTAGCAGACGGTAGTCGGTTGTTACTCCGGGTCCGAAACCCGCCATCGCTTCCGGACACCAGCCCCTCCAAGCTGCTCGCCCCGCCCGGGGATTCCGTGCGATTCAGAAAGGGCGGCGTCCCACCGGGAATCGGGGGGCCGCCCGGCGGCGGCAGCGGCGACCCGCCCGGCGGATGGGGCACGCCAAAACCCAGGCATAGAGACGAAATAGGTGATCTTCAGCATTGTTCTTATCCCTAAAGAAATTCGCAGCATACCATCGGGATTTGCCCTTTTTTTTGCGCCAACGCAGGGGCTGCAGTTTTTATGGTCGCGTCTGCGTAGGAGTGCTGCTGCCTTCCCTGGCGGGTTTTTTCACGCGGCCCAGGCGTCTTTCTAGAGGAACCAACAGGCACGCCAACACCCCGACGAGCCTAGACATAGACTAGAGTGGCCCCCCCACTGCGCAGATCGACGCGGCCCACGGGCACTCACAGCACGCCCAACAGGCGCAGCCGGGCATCTTTTTCGCGGCCCCGGGCCCTACGTACTCGCGACCCAAAAAAGGCCGCAAGCCGGCTCGTGCGGGCTTGGTACGCAGGCCCCTCGAGACCTCTTGGAACTCTTCGAACGCGCCTCGATCTCTCACCCACCGCCCCAACCACTCACCGCTGGCACCGCTTCCGCGGTGATGGTGGACGCACTGGCAGAAGACCTTGAAAGCTTCCCGCCTGGTACTCGTTTGAACGCTTCGGAGAGATAGACAAGAACACCTACTGCAACGCCCTGGCATTGATGTTTTGGCATGAAGCAGAGTCGGAGCTTCTGCGCCAAATGTTCCCGCTCTCGAACACTGCTGCTCTTATCCTCCACGCCGTGCATAGATAAGAACACGTTTGTAACGACCTGAAATTGGTGGCTGGCACGAAGCAGAATGACAGCTTCTGCGCCAGAGGTTCCCGTTCTCGCAAAAATGCTGTTCTTTTCCTCCAAATGGTGCATAGATAAGAACATGTTTGTAACGACCTAAAAGTGGTGTTCTTATCTATGCACGAACAGGAGGGATAAGAACAGCACTTTTGAGAGAACGGGAACATCTGGAGGAGAAGCTTCAATTCTGATCGTCCAATCATCTCCATGCATAGATGAATCGGGGGGCCGCCCGGCGGCGGCAGCGGCGACCCGCCCGGCGGATGGGGCACGCCAAACCCCAGGAAAGTGGCCTCGCGGCGGTGTGAATACTGCTGCTCGACAAGGTGCTGGTTGTCGTCCTGCTCCATGGGCTCCGGAAAGGATTGATCGTGCACGCCCTGGTGCAGTCCGTAGTGCGACAAAGGTGGGTCGATCCCGACTTGGTATTGTAGTGACCTATCGTGGAGGTGCTGATGCTGCTGCTCTTGCGCGGCCAGCTGGAGCTGTTGGGCGTGCAGCAACGCTTGCCGTTGCTCGTGTTCCCGCAGATCCTGTTCCCGGAGTTGTTGCTGTTGCTGGTGCTGAATACTGTTCATTCGGTGGGCTTGTTGTTGTTCCTGCTGTTGCTGCAGCAAAAAAACTTGCCGTTGCCGGGCGAGTTCCTGTTCCTGCTCGGCGAACGGCATATGCTGCGGGGCGGCAATCCCGCCACCCGGGTACCCTGCATTGCTGCTCCCGACGCTGCGGGGGCTGGCAGGGAGCGACGCGGAGACCAGGAACACATAAGACTGTGTCTGGACGTTGTTGTAAAAGAACCCGGCGAGAAGGATTGGGAATAGTGTCAATGCGGAGAGGAGGACGCGAAAAAAAACTTTCGTGGCTCTCAATTGGCGTTTTGGCTTCATGATATTTTCTTTTCCTGCTATGCATTGGAAATATGTCCGGGTCCTCGGGAATAAAGATTCGGATTGGCATTTGTGATCATGCGAACTGAAATTCACGCAAAAATCCTGACTCGTCTCTGTGTTGCATTTGCGGGAATAGCTGCTCGATTTTTGCTTCCCAAAGAGCGAACTCCTCACGTCATTGCATAGCGAGGGCACTATAGGGAAGCACTCGAGAAATCTGTCATGCTTGTGCGTGCATGCCAGTGCAGCTGCGTATAATATTTATATTAATCCAAAACATGCATTTGCATTCCAGGAAGGCGCACTTTTCTTCCAGCAGACCCAGACGCATTTGCGGTTGATACCTGCAAGAAGATGGTGTTTTCTTGTGGCGCGCGTGGAGAGACGGCAAGAAGAACGGGAGTTCGAGGTTCGCGATTTTTGTTGATTTCTATCCAAAATAATAAACGCCATTTTGTCTGGCATACGCATCGAAGATGCTGATAATGAATTAGTTTGAGTACGGCAGAGAATAATAAAACGACATAGACAGAAGCTTGGTGAAATTTTCAGGAGACGGCTATTGATACACTCACGATCTTGCAAGTAGAGTGTTCGCAAATAGGCTATTTCGCAAATACAGTGGCTCAGATCTTCAAAATTATTCAGTACGGGTCAGTTTTTGGTACAATGGGCACGAAGTTCGGCAATAGACATAAATCGCGCCCTTGATACATGGTGCTTCCTGACTACAGATTTTATTTATTTCTTATGTATGACTTTTCTTTGTCTAAGCGTGTGCAAAGTAGGTGGATACTCTTATGGCTACAATCTTTCAACCGCGCAAATCTGATTATCTTCCTCTTGTTGGTAAAAAAACCTTCAAATGCAAAACTTCCGTCACGAATTTTGCCAGTGGTACGCCTCCGGCATATATTATCACGTCGTGGTAATTTTGCCAAAAAAAAGTTTTACTGATGTGCGCAATATCAAATAACTACGACGTATCTGATACGATATTCATAATTTGAAAAGAATTGCACCATACATTCTCTTTTAGTAGATTCAGCTTTACAGGTTGTACAATTTGTGGACGAGAGTAACTTATTCCGGTATAAACCCGGTGTAATATACAAACTCGGTCACTGTTGAGATATTTGTTTTACAATACGAAAATCTCTCGCCGTTTTTACTTGCGGAAAATAATTTGTAAATTCGATTTCGAATTGATGCAACTCTATGATAAAGTGAAAGAGGGCTGCAAAAATTTTTCCAGAAGCTGGCTTCTGCTCATCAGGAGGAAGGAGGTAGTTCGTTGGACTTCTACTTCATCATCTTGTTGAAAAGAAAAACGCTGCTGCTGCATGTTCTGCTGCTTTCATTACGCGGCGGGCTATCGGCTGTTGGCAGTGGAAGTTGCAAGTAAGTAAGAAGTAGTCGTTCTTATCCAAGAACATGAACATTTCAATTTCCATTTCCTTCGCAACACAGAGATCAAAATTTCGACTGCGACAACGAAAGTCAACAGCCGTGAAAAGCAGTAGATAGTAGAACAAAAATGAGTGCGACATGAAAAATGCAAGAGTCAAAACTTCTCTAATGATCAAAATTCGACATGATGTACTACAGAAGAGCCGGCCAAGATCAGACGCGCCTTGCAGGAAGGATGAAATCGAAGAACAATTTTCCATCAAAAGAAGACCATTTGACGCTGCCTGTTCAAAAAGAAACACGAGTGCTGGAACACACTGCAACTATTTATTTCCACGCTGCCTCGTTCCGGGAGGTTCTCTTCGTTGCGTACAACTTCCACATCTCCGCCTCGAGGACGTGCAGCGGCCACTCTGTCTTCTTTCACGAAGTGCTTTCTTTCATCTCTGCAGGAGCGGATCATACAGGTTATTTTTCTCATCAACATCCTACATTTGCAAATTTTGTTCGGTGAAACCTTCACGACGAGCGCAAGGTAGCTGCAAGACGCTATTGTCAAATTGTTAAGATTGGCAAATACAAGGACAGCAAGCTGTGAAATAAGCACAAATTTACAAGTCTTCTACAGAAGAGTGATTTATAGTTCTCCGCAACTGCCCTACTCAACAGAAAAGGAAAACTCTAGCAGTTTTGTACAATAAACCTTGAAATAGGTGGCAAAAGAAGTTTTTGGGATCCAAAACGTATTGCAGCTGGTGGAAATTGTAATTTTTAGCAGCACCAGGTGCAGGCGCGGGTCGCGTAATCAGGATATCTTCCACCAGCATAGACAGTCCGCTACTCGTTCAGATTGTTGTAGTTGATGTAGTAAGAACGATGCATTTGATCATTTGCCTGCTGCTGGTCCTGGTGTACAAACTCCTGCCAAACTGTGACTCTTGCCAATCACGACTACATCAAGGTCGTCGACGCTCTTTAGGCATTTTTTTTAGCGGTAGTGGTAGATACAGCTCAAGCTGTCGCGACTTAAGGTACAAATGTGATATTCTGTTCTCGAGGTTAGGTTAGTAGGCGTAGGACGTGCAATGAGAATGACGATGACCCGCCATCTTCTGCATGACATTTTTACGACATAATTGCAAACGGCATGCCAACAGATACAGAAGCAGAGCTTTTTCTTCGTATAATGTTACAGCACATAAATTTATCAGAATAGCAACAGATACAACTTGTTGCCTCCTTTGGCTTTGTGAATTAGTGTTAATACGAATCGGAAATTGTTTTGAACTAGGCTTTGAGTTTTATTTTTACTGTGAGCTATTGAAGATCTTTGCGAGCGAGACGAGAGTACGGGACGACACAGAGAGGAACCTTCTCGAAGTGATTCCATTTCTACTTTTTCGCCTTCGCCCTTGAACCCACAGAGGATGCACTTTGTGCGCGGCGGCTACCTGCGTTGTTGAAGACGTGCAGTTGTGTATTCTGCTGAAATTTGCTTTTTTGCGTTGTTTTGTGCCATGAAACTATCAAGCGCGCTTACAAAGTGCTGTTTTGACATGGATGCATGCAGAGAAAAAGACCTTTGATACCACAACATAGGCAAAAACCACGACACATGACATTCGAATTCCAAGTTGAGCTCAGACAATCTTCTAATTCTAAAAAAACGCTAATTTACTGCTTGCCGCCGACGAGCTTCCTGATCTCGACAGTGCTTTCACCTTCTCTGCTACCCGGGATGCCACGTCGGAAATTGCGTCTCCAGCGACAAAGTCCGCGCTTCGTATGTTTTTCGGCCGCGTGCTCGCTACGCTTGCGGGTCTCTGCGCTTCTTTCAAGGCGTAGCGGGGAGAGTAGGATTCTGTTTTTATGGGATTCGAGGGCGTGGTGTGCAAAAGCTGCTTTCGAACTTATGCTTTTGCTTTTCGTTTTCGTCTTTGTCCTGTATAAAATAAAAAATGACGGATTAGAGGCGGCTGAAGCTGATGAATAAAAACATATACATTTGTCACGCTCTTTTTCATGTTGAAATCATTCGAGTTTATCCCTGCTATACGTGTTCGTGGCAGTTTTGGTCTAGCGGCGTATTCGTTGTGCAGTAACCGCTTCTTCCCCGGCCCAATGCTCGCCAAAATTGGATGACTCCCCTCGACGTCAATACCTAATTTGGATTTTTATTTTGCGTTTTTCATTTTCTTAACAAGAAAATGAATGTGAGTTGATATGTCATGTCAGCGACACGTTTTGATCGTCACAATCTAGCACTAGCAGCGCCAAATGATAAACCCCCCTGTAGTTAATACCTGTCAATTCCGCCCGGTGCTTCCCTCGTTGATTTACGTAGGCGAAACAGCTGGTTTCCTTGTGTCCGAAAAATTCATTCCCCTCCCAAGCGTAAGGTGGAAACAGGTTCTTCTCGGCCCGCCGAAGTAGCCTCCTTCTCTGCCCCTCCGGGTCCTTCTCCCACATATTCTGGATGTGTTCGGCCTTCTTGCTATCCTTGGCGACCCACTCCTTGTTCGCGAAGTAAGTGCGGTGGATACCCTGCGCAAGGTGACCTGGAATGCAAATTGAAATTTTTTTTTGAGTATGAGCGTGAGTTGGAAAAAGTCAAAGTTTCGTATTCGTATGCAGCGTTCTAGCATCACAGTAGATGTGCTTTGTCAACATGCAACACTTACAACTATACCATGTGAGTGGTCCATGGCGTAATTTACTCCGCATTTTGTGTGGTGCAAATCCTCAAGTCGCATCATCTCCATGGTTGCTGCGGTGTAGCGCACGGGCTCCCGCGCCACCGTTCTATCCGTCCACATATTCATCTTGACGAGGCTGCGAAAGCGACGGTCGTGTAGCACAGCGTCCTCGTCCTTGTTCCGCGCCTGCTTTTTGTTTCTACTCCGATAATTCCACCTTCTCTTACGCGCGTTGTATGGTTGATGCCCGGCACCAGTGCGCGCAGATGGAGATACCTCGCGACCACGTGCGCTTCTTGTGCTCTGCTTCTGGTGGCTGTACTTTCTCCTGTTGCTGTTTCTCCTGTGTCGAAGTCCGAAGGTGCTCCTCTTCCGTCACGAAAGCCGATTTTTAGTTGTACATTTATCTCCCGCACAGCTAGGTGTTCGGTGGTTTGGTGCAACGGGTTCGTTGCGGGTTGTAAAAGTCCGGAAGTACGAGCTGTTTTTGCTAGTTGTGAACGAGGACCTGGTGGCTCCACTTGCTGTGTTTTCCGTTTCTATGTACTGCGACCGTACTGGGACTATTCAGAGCGTGGCCGTGATAGAAAGATGTGTCCTTCTGCGTCTATCTCGACTGCGACTGGTTGAAGAGCTGTCGTTCGTTTGCTCCTCTTTCTGCCTTTTTTCTGCAAAATCAACCTGAGCCTCGCGCTCTTGATGAAGTTGAAATTGCCACGAATCGGCGCCGTGGTCTGCCCTGCACTAAAATCGTACTAGATGCTGCGCAACGTTGCGGAAGGAAGATCTTAGTTTCTGCTCACGAGATGATTTCCGACCCAAAGTAGAGGTCACTCACTTACTACGTATTTCGGCTAAGTGGTCGCTCGTCAACAAAAGCCGAGCCTCGTGCTCGAAAGTGATTGGACTACAACCGAGAGTCTGAAGAATCTAGATTCCAACTACCTTTCCACCTGTTTCATCAGCTAGATTCGTTTCGCTAAGGTTTTCATCTTTCTTTTTCATACATCAACGAGCAAGGTTTTTTTTGCTTGCCGAAAAAGCGTAAGTGACGACACAACTCCCTGTTTTCTCTGTCTCACTTCATAGGCCACACGTCTCTTTAGTTACGACATCGACAGAACAGATAAAGATATTGGCATTGACGAAGCAAAAATAAAACCCTCAAACAAGTCAAACACTCTCGTGAGCTATACACTGCGTCGGGCGCCGTCGTGTGGGTGCGCGCTATTTCTCGTCACTCTGTTGCAACATTGTGAGCGACGAGAAGAACAGACTCGATAGCATACGAGTATGCTTAATATACACGGTCATCGACCCGCGTTGCGCTTGTACTATAAAACGTGTCGCGTTCGTCGCTCCCCCGCGTTACAAATAATGACGCGCACGCCCGAAAAATCTCCACTCACTCTGCGGACGGGCGCCACGCTTACTCGATCGCGGCCCAACGAGCGCACTCATGCAACGGGGGGCGCGGTAGGTGGCCTTGTAGAACGAAAGGCGGCCGGCCGGGCACGTACGAGGCCACGACGCGGCAACCCCCGACGCGCCATTCCCTCTCTCATTCGTGGCGGCAGCTGCCTGCGTGCCCGCCAACTTCCATGCGGCCTGCGCGGGGGCCAATGGCTGGGGGGGGGGCGCCACTACACTTTTCCGACTCGTGCGCCCAGCGAACGCACCGTCGCCCCCAAAGTGTTGCTCTGCGCTTGCAGGTGTTGGTCGGCTCCATCTCGGATGCGGGCGCTCATGAAATGCCCGCCGAAATCCACAGCCGCCCCCAGTAGGGGTAGAGCTACGCCCGCCATAATTTTGCGTATTTGGAAAAAACAAAATCAAGCACTCGCGGCACGCCGCCAGGCCAGATCTCGCAGATCGGCCCCGGGACCTCGCCAGGGCTTGCATCCTTGGCAGCAGAGACGGGACGCGGCGCTCCTGTGGTGTGATTTTTGGTAGTTTTTGTTCATCCGTGTTGCCCAGATATCGGGTCTTTCATTGCGTTTCCGGACTGCGCCGATTAAGTACTTATCATTATCTTTTACCAAACAAGGACAGCAAGACAGTAAGGAAGGCAGCGCATGCTCATTGGGTAGTTGGTTGCTTGGAGTTCCTGCCACTCCACTTAGTAACTGATCACGCACATGTACCTGAAGCTGCGCCGCTCCCTACTTTTAAAGCCACCAGGTCGCAGAAATCGCGCGGCGCGAGGGTGGCAGCTCGGCGAGCGGCAACATCATTCCCCCTCGCCTTTGACGCTTTGCCCCGCCCCCGACTCGCCAATCATGTTGCTGCGAAGTATGACCGTTATAAATCAGTTGCGGTTTCCTCTCGTGAGGTGGGCATGACATCAAAAACCGCTCCTCTTTGGTGGCTGCACTCACCCTCTTCATGGATGTCACGTATAAATCTTTGTTGCAACCTAGTATTTTGCCTGTGTTGATCCAAGCCTTGCAAACTAGTAGACGCACAAGATGAATAATTGCTCCCTCCCACACGTGATCCGCCGTCGCTCTTGCTCTCATCGTTCCTCTCAACCTGTCCGAGTCGCGTTACTACAGCATGTCGGCGACAGTAGCTGTGCCAGGCGCAACTGAATCGTTAAAGAGAGGCGCTGGCGGCGAAAGCGGAACACCTTTCAGAAAGGTCGTTTCGGTACTACCTTGCACCACAAAGAAAACACAATACACGTCCCTCGCCAGATCTTGGTCCTCGTCTGGGGCGACGGTCACAATTTCTGAAATCGAAATGTTGAAAGTACACTCGTACAACTAGTCCAAAACATCAAAACGCGTTGTGGCTCTGCGATTCTTGCGGTCTCAATTACTTTTGCCTTTTTTTGTCGTGACACCCTACAATCGAGGGTGCGCCAACTGCTGGAGTGAGATTTCTACTCCGAGTTCAACAACAAGCTACATGCTCTGCAGAAGCAGCTAATTGGGACGAAGCAAAAAGCTCTCAAACGCTCTCTCTCTCGTGAGTAGTTATGCACTGCGTTGAGCGCGTGCCTGTGCACTATCTCTCACTCTGTAATCGCATTATGAACGACGACACGAGCAGACGCGACAACATGTCAGTATGCTTATCCATTGCCATCCGTGTCCGCGCTAAATTGTTGCGTTTGTATTTGTAAAAGCAAAAACTGCTCGATTTACAAATGATGGCGCTCATGCCCGAATCCCGATTTCACGGAAGGGCGCCATCCTCGAGCGCAGCCCGAAGGATGCATGGATGCAACGAGGGGCGCGGTAGCCTTCTGGAAAGGCGGGCACGACACGACGTGGCACTCCCTGACGCGCCATCCTCTCCCATCCGGGACGGCAACTGCCTGCGCGCCCACCCGCTTGCAGCCGTCGCGGGCCCCATGGCCATTGCCGGTAGCGGACGGAGGGGCGACATCAATAGCGAAGGGGAGGGGTCGATCTGGGCGGGCGGACCAGAGGGGCCCGGAGCGGGCTGGCCCCCACGACCGCCGGGCCCCTATCGAGGCCACGGGGGCGCCGGCCGCCCCCGCCACACATCAAGCGGGGGACGGGGCTAGGTAGGCGCGCGGCTGCCCGGCCGGCACCTGCTGCGCACGAAATCCAAAAAGAAGCGCCGGGAGTGCGCGGCCTTCGCTGTTTCGGAGTCGGGCATTTACAAGGTGCCCGGCCAAATCTAGCGCGCCACCCACAAACGCTGCGCCTGCTGCCATTTTATCACTTTGCGACTGCGGGCCTTCGTGGCGTCTGCTAGTTCTACCTTCTCACTCTCAGTTGCCCCGATATCCAGGCCAACTCAAACAAAGGGCCGCCACCACCTAGGAGCGTAAACTGTTTCTCAATAGGGCGGAACTCGACAAAGTGGAGGCCGCAATTGGAAGCTTTCTTCCTTTATCGTTTTCTTTGCTGCTCTCTGTCTCACCACGTCACATAGTTCGCGACGATGGTGCTGTTGCTCTACTCTTTACCACATTAGCATCTTCATCTGCTGGGGTGAGATGAGAATCTCTCAAGAAGGAGCGCACGACCACTGAATACAATACGCCACTCTGCTTCATCATCATGTTTTCTGCCGCGGCTCCCACTCCCTCACGTGAAGACATGACATGAGAAGTCGCTTTTCTGTGGTGGCTTCAATCACCGCCATCACGACTCTGATCAACATCTCTTGAAAAATGGCGGCACACACGCTACTTCACTCCGCGGACGGAGGAACGCCGCCATCGCTCGCGGCCCGCCGGAAGCGCCGGAACGGGGAGCGCGGTAACCTTGCAGAAAGACGGGATGGAGCGGCACGGCGCGGCGTTTCCCCGCGCGAGATCCCCCCGCCCTCCCACCCGGAACGGCGACTGCGCGCCCAGCAGCACCAGCTTGATGCCTGGCCCCATTCAGCGGGCGCGTCGGAGGCGCCACTGCGGCTAAAGGAGGGGCGCTAGCACGGATAGGCGAGAGGGGGGGGCGAGTTCGCTCGCGCAGGTTGTCGGCCGAGACGGCGGGGGCGCCGGTTGCCTCGCTCCGGGCGCCCCCCGCCCGCGCGGCGGAGGCACGGCAAACGCAAAGGGGCACGCAACTGCCCCGCCGGCGCCTGCTCCTTCTGCAAACAACAAACCCGGGGCGCCCGTGACACGGCGCCGAAGCTCACGGGGGGCCGCGTCCGCTTCGGCTTCTCCTGGGCTTTTGCGACGCTGGGCACTTTCGTCGCCAGACGAGGACGCACCGTCGCCCCCAAAGTGTTGATCTGCGTCTGATCCGCGCAGCCACGCCATGCCCGCCAAACTCCGAGTAATCAGTGCTGCCACGCAAAAGCGGGAGCGCTGCAGAAACCATCACTCTTGTAGTGCATCTCTATGCGGCCTGCTAGTACTTTCTTCGAAGTAGAAGTTGTCTTTTTTTATGCCAGGTCAACTCACAGAAAGGAGCGCCAGCATCCATGGGCTGCGCTTTTTGTTTCTCAATTGGGAGGAGCTCGTCATGGATGCGGCAGTAAGTACCAAGTACACTAGGAGTTCACTAGTACTAGTACTAAGCACACTAGGCATATCTTTTCTGCTTCGTCATGTTTTCTACGGCTCCCTGACATCAGATGAAATCGCTCTTCTTTGGTGGCTGCAGCTGCACTTACCCTCACGTCACGTATAACATTAACATCTTTGTTACACTACATTATTTCACCGTGAGTATGTTGATCCAAGCCTTGCACTAGATGCCTACGATAAATTATTGCCCCCTATCCGGCGGCGTGGTCCGCCGGCGTGGTCGGTCTTGCTCTCATCGTTTCTCTCAACTTGTCCAAGTCGTACTACTCCCGCGAGTCGGCGAATGTAGCGTCTGCGCCAGGCGCAACATCTTAAACAAAGATAGGCGATGGCGGCAGAACACGAACACCTTGCAGTACTAGCTCGCACTGCAAAACGCAACACTCACACGTGTCTTGGTCTTGCCAGACGTTGCGACGTGCTGACCCTCTGGCGGGGCGTCGATCACAGTTTCAAAAATCAAAATGTTGAAAATATACGTGTACTCACTACATTCCAAAACACCAAAACGCGTAGCTCTGCGATTTTTGCGATTTCAATCATTGCTGCCTTTTCTACACCTTTCGTCCTCGTGTTACCCTACCATAGTAAAAATATTGCGGGTCCGACAAGAACTGCAGCAGCTGGATTGCGATTTCACTCTAGTCCGAGCGCAACAACAAGTTAGCCGCCCTTCAGAAGTGAAACAAGACAAGCCGAGGTCGTCGGGGGACTAGCAAATACTGCATGTAATCAATGTCGCGAGGGTATCGTCATTGCGCGCAATGTAGATGAAAAAAAAGATAAAAGAAGAACTACTTAAAAGGATATACAAGTTAACCAGCAGGCTCGGATGCTGATTGCAATACTCTGTGACTTCTTTTTCAGAATTCTCATTCTCCAAGTCAAAACTGCAGGCAATTCAATCATGTCTCAAGTCACTACACAGAGATAAGTACCCGCTGTTGGCGTCGCCTTCGAGTTGATACGTATATACAATATGAGATACGATTTTGACCCGATGGAACAACTCGAACTCAAAAAAAGCTCTTACAACTTGCGAATTGAATCTTCCAAACCAGCCACGATTCGCGAAATAAATCCTTTTATCGTCTCGACTTTTCCAGCGCGCGCACGAGATCCGCAATCATCCCGGCAACCAACGGGTTGTCTTCATGTTTCGCTATAATTTCGTCAAAGTCTTTGGACGTACTTTCTACTTTACACGACGAGGCAGAGTTCAACATTCGTTGCTGGTCATTTTCAAAATTCTGGCTGTTGTTCTCCACTCCTGCTCTTACTTCACACGTTGGAAATTCTGCTCTGCTGGAAGACTCCGCTTTGCTGGTAACGGCTCCACTTGGTACCGAGTGCGCATTGGATGTGTTCCCTGCGATGTCTGTTTGCGAAGGAGATACTAGCGACATAGTTGCTGTCGCGGTAGAAGAGACTTCGCCCGCCCTTGGTGCAGAAGCCTCGTTCTTCGCGGCCCCAGCCGAAGGTACTAGCTGCTCATCGTGGTCCGTCTTCCCCGCGCCCTGCAGTTCATCATCTCGAACAACATCATCGGTAGAGCTTTCATCACAACTGTTCCTCTGCTGCATCTCCCGGCACAGCAAAACGACCGACGGGTAATTTCTCCCGGACCGTTCCAACTCCTCCAGCTCGTTCGAAACCTTTTTGCGCAAATCGTAACCAAGCACGATGTCCCCGATCTCGACGGCAGGAGGTGCGGTTTTGTTAGACATTGCGCCAGCACTTCCACGCGAGGATGTTGCCCCTGCAGAAGAAGCAGTAGTACAACCACTATTCGCGAATATCAAATTTTGCTGTTGCATCAGCGGCACGTTGCAGATCATGCGGTCTTCTAAATTCCCCATGGTCGTCGGCGGGTTCAAAAAGTCTGACTCGAGCACCACGTCCACGCGACTGATCGCGGAAGAAACAATCTTGGCGCCGCGGAAAAGCTGGGACCGGCGCTGCGGGGCCGCACCCCCAGAAGAAGAAGTGCCTGCTCCGGTTGACGTCGAAGGTCCAGTGGTCGATGTGCCCGCGACAGCAGCACATGCGGAGTTTCCTGTATTCGCCGAACCGGCAGAGGACGATCCGTTATTGAGGAAGGAGTTCTTCTTCAACTTCTTCTGTCCTGACCGCACTGTTTTGCGCCTCGCATCGACGTCATCGAGGAAATCGTCGGTAGTTTTTTGATTTTGCAGCTCCACGACTTTCTTTTTCGCAACATCCTCCATTTGCTCCAGTGCCGCGAAACGGTTCGACTTCATCAGGAAATCTTGCTCGTCCTGGTCCGATAGAAATAGTGATGATGTAGCGCCAGGTCCGTTGTGATTTATTTCTCCAACATTATTTTCTCGCATCGGCAGATCCTTTTCCACCTTTTGTTCCCGCAGATTATTGTTCGCAAGCATCTTGTTCATCTGTTCGTAGTCGAAATGCACGTCCATGACCACAAACCGCTGCAAGGGATTGTTCGCACCGGCACCTCCAAAATCTTCACCAGTAGTAGAACTACTGCTCGAGAAGCAGCTCGACAAACTCCGTAAGCAGAGTCGATCCGAGCTTTTCAACGGTGCTGCCCAGGCGCAGTGGGAGGAGATGGAAATGGTCTCCCCAATCACGGGGTCGAACAGCCCCAAACTTGTGTGCGCGACTTGTTCCAACACGCAAACCCCGGCCACTCCATTCTCATCCGGCATCTGCCGATTTTTCGCGTGGTTGCTATTTTTCGCGGCGACCTGGTTGTCGAGCAGCACACAAAGATCCGATTTCACTACCGGCGCGAGCTCGAAGGTCAGCAACCGCCCAGAGGGGTGGCTGTGCGGGAAGGGGAGGCGCTGGAGGACGAAGTGCCTCTGTAACCAGTGGAGAAACGTCGAGGCCGTGCGCTTGCTGTCGCAGGTGAGACGGAGCAATTGCTGCTGCAACGATTGGTCGCTGGAGGACGAGTTAAAATTGGAAATAGTGTTAGATGAAGCAGTTGCGCTGCTGTTGTTTTTTGATGCGCGTAGGAGATGAACTGGCTCCACCTGCTGCTGGTCTATATTGCTGACACCACCAGCTGCTTCTGTGGCAGAATAAAAGTTCTTCCTCGCCCCTTCCGAGTGAATCATGTCCTTCAACGAATCTCCGGTTTTCGAACAGTACTTTGCCCGCATTATGTGTATGACATCGTGCAAAACCTCGCGCAATTTCCTGATCGTGCCCCCAGACCGGCTGCCGCGACGCAGGGCGGTAAGTTTGCTCGCTTTCAACACGATCTCTACGGGTGTGTACTGCTTTCTTGCCGCCCCTGCGGCTGTGTTGTAGGTATTCCTGGACTGGCGCAGGGTCGTGGAAGACCGAAGTTTTTTGTCCTGTTGCGAAGATGCATCGGTTGTCGTTGCGGCCCCGGTCCCATCACCACTCTGTTTTCCGTTACTATTCCCTCGCGGCTCCAACTCCTCTGTGGCAGAGTTCATAGCGTCGTCAGCTAAAAAATCGTCTTCCCCCGCGGCCTCGTCTTGGTCGTAGTTTGTGGAAAAGGGAAACTCACGACGCTTGCTTTCTACAACGTGAAAGCCCTCATCTTCGTCCTCCATTAGTACCTCCGCTATCGCTTCCAATTGCATGTCAAACTCCACGTCCTCATCGTCCTTTCCGCCAGGTCTTTGTGCCGCCGACCCCACTGCGGCGTAATTCGAAGTAGTGGCACGTGATGAAGTTGATGTTGGCATGGTACGGAATAGGTGCAGCACCATCGTGATTGGCGTTTTTTCTCTACTTGAGCAAGAACTGCAACAACAACAAACAACACTCAACCGCCCAACTTCCGCAAAAGGAAGAACCTTCCTTACAACTCATAAGAGGGAGCTTCTTGGTCTCCGGTCCTCGGTCCTCAGTCGCTCAAAAGATAATACTTGAACGGATAAGAAGGTAGAAAGCTGAGACACATGAAAGGGAGTTTCTTGGTCTCCGGTCCTCGGTCCTCAGTCGCCCAAAAGGTAATACGTGAAGGGGTAAGAAAGTAGAAAGCTGAGACACATGAGAGGGAGTTTCTTGGTCTCCGGTCCTCGGTCCTCAGTCCCTCACAAGGTAATACCTGACGAGATAGGAAGGTAGGAAGCTGAGAGAGACACATCAGAGGGAGTTTCCTGGTCTCCGGTCCTCGGTCCTCAGTCGCTCAAAAGGTAACACTTGAAGGGGTAAGAAAGTAAAAAGCGGAGAAACATGAGAGGGGGTTTCTTGGCCTCCGGTCCTCGGTCCTCAGTCCCTCACAAGGTAGTAGCTGACGAGATAGGGCGGCAGTTTGAAAGGTCGGGCACATAAAAGGGAGCCTGCTGGTCTCCGGTCCTCGGTCTTCTGTCCCTCGCTCGCGAGATAATACACGGCGAGAGAAGAAAGGAGAAGGGGGACACACATGCGCAGGAGTCTGCCGGCCTCCGGTCTTCCTTCGTTTTTATGTTTTTCAGCAGCCTTGCGCATTTTTTTCGAATGTCTTCAGCTCCACTGTTGTACAGAGTCAGCTTGTGAAAAAATACCAAATCTAACCGCGAACGGCCAGCGTAGGCTTTATCTTTTCCGAAATTTCAACGCTGCGACGAAGTAGGTACTGTTGTAGCTCAGTCAGTTACTGAGTTCCCTACGTGCGCTGAACTCAATTTCCCCGATGGTATAGCTTGAAAATATACTATCCCTCCACCGGGGCGGTGGCGTAAACAAGTATAGGCCTGCCGGCTTCGCCGATTGTTTTGAAATCGCGCTAGATTGGTTCTCATCAGTAAACTTCCCTACGTGGGTTGCGCTGTCAAGTTTTCCGATGTAACTGCTTTGAAATCGATCCAGTAAAATCGTAACAGAATTTCCCTACGTGAGCTGAACTCAATTTCCCTGATGGTATAGATGGCCTAAATCTATCCACCGGGGCGGAGGCGCAAGCAAATCAGCGCGCTCTTTTCTGTGAGTCACGTGCTGCCTCTTTCTAGTAAGTCTGGGCCAAAACGGCGCCGCCCGTGCGGAATTACTAGGGTGGAGGTTTTTCTCTATCGCTGTGCGAGACTATCGCGATTCTACATATATGGCCAATCTATTAGATATCTTCCACGTGCGTCTCTCGCGATGATTTTTATCGGTCTATCTCTGAACTTCTTGCGTTTTTGTTTCTATCTTCAACGTGTCGCCTTGTCTTGTTAATTTCCATCCTATTTCCCCTCTTTTGACTTGATGCCATTCCTCTTCTTTCGATTGTCGTTTCTGTTATTTATAGGAATCCAGTACGCTTCTCGTATTATATGGCTGCTCGATTTTCTTCTGTTGCACAATGCTACGCATATTCTTGATTTCTGACATACACGACCGGGGCGAAGCTTAAGCGCCCGGAGCCTGCCGACACGC